GCTCTCAGAAATTGCTCTTTCTCTCTCCCAGTGGCCACAGCTCAGCCCCATTGTTCTGGAGAAGATGGCAGAGAAGCAGGAGGAGCCCAGCAACACCCAGAACGGGGAGCCCGACAACGCCGAGGAGGGCGAGGGGCAGAAGAAGAAGGTGAAGAGGGAAGACCTTCCACCCTTTGAGATCGTGACGGGGTAAGAGATCTGGATACACAAACGGGGGTGAGATTGCAGAGATGTTCCAAGGGCTCTGCCTGAGCTCTGGGTCGGGTGGTTCAAGCAGCAGCTTCAGCCCGTGCATTTCTGAGCGTTCTGAAATGGTTGCAGTTCTGTGGGTTTGGTTGGGGTTTTGTGGACCTGTGGGGGTTGACCTCACACCAGGTTCTGTGCACCCAGGTCTGATTCTGCAGAGCTGGTCCCTCCCAGGGCAGGGCTCAGTGGCTGATGAGGTCAGGATGGAGCTATTGGCCTCGATGAGTGCTGGATATTGATTTCTTGCTGTGATCAATGGCTCTTGTCGGAGAGTTTCTCCACCTGTGGGTTAGGAAAAACACTCCTGCCATGGCTGATCGGCTTGATGGGCCTGAGGGAGAGATTTTTCAGGAGACCTGAAGGTTCACAGCTCCAAGGGCTCCACAGCCACAGCTGGAACCTGACTCTCAAACAAGCCCAACTTGCAGAAAGGCTCCAAACAAGGGGCAGGTCTCAAGCCAGGAGAGCAGTGAGCGTGGCCTTGGGGACAGACAGATATCACAGAGATCTGGTACAGCTGCAAGGAGAAAAACCCTCTGTATCTGCCATCTCCAAGCACTTCCAAATGCTCAGTGCAGCAGCAGCAAGATGCCCCATATCATTCTCCCCTCATGTTTCCCTCATCAGCCACCAAGGCAGAGTCCCAGCAAATAAAACAAACCCTAGATTTTTTCCAGCTGCTTGAACACAAAGCTCAGGGCAGGCTCTAAAATCCCTCCTTGGGGTGGTCTCTCACACAGTGTCATAGAAATAGCAATGACTGGGAAGCAGTGGCTTGTAAGAAAAGCACATCCCTCTGCTGGGAATGGAGCTAAGGCACCAAAAATTGTGGCTAGAAGCCACTGGACCAACTTCTGACCACCTCATGAATCTCAGTGAGGAAGTTGGATTTTCCAGCCTCAGAGCACTCAGCTTGCAGCAGAAACACTGAGGAACTGGGCAGTGTCTTCAAATTTCCCTGCTAACCCCAAGGAGCTGCTAATCATGGCTGATAAACTTCCTTAGCATCACCTTGCAATTAAATTACTTGCTGAAATGCCAAGGGTGTAACAGGATTTGACAGGATTTTCCACCCTGGAAAGGTGAGAGTAAGGAAGTGAAGCAGAAATGCTGAAGGGCCCTGAGGGAGGCACAGACATCCCAGTGATTTTCACTTGCCCTCGGAGTGGGACACTGGGAGTCTGCACCAGGCCTCGGCCTGTGATCACTGTGTGGATTTTCCTAACGATTTACAAATTTCCAGCCAATCAATCCAGCCATGTGCCTGATGAGGAAACACAACTGCAGCCATGGCAGCACTTACACCCAATTACTTTGCATTTCAGCTTTAGCCCCTGGATTAGGAGCATCTCATGACTCCCAGCCAAGTGCTCAGGCTGTTGCTCACAGCTCTGAGGAGTTTGGCTCACAGGATGAACACTGAAACCTAATTGCTCTGATTAAGAATATTAACCCATTTTCCTGTCACTATTTGGCTGAACACAGAGCTGGGTGAGTGTTTTCCCCATCTGTGAGTGTCTCCTGGCACTTGGCACATGTATCTACACTTTCCCAGGGGTAAACGAGGCTCTTTGCAGCAGGGACAACTCCTCGGTTCCTGTTGCTCATTTACAGCATCCTTCAGGTGATCCACATTTCAGTTCCCTTGGCAGAAGTTCTGCTCCTCTCCTGCCCACACAGAGCAGTGCTGGGGCACTCAGGGCAGCTGCTCCTTCCTCCAGCTCAAACCACACTGTGCCCAGCACCGTGAGGCTCTCCAGCCTGAGGCTCTGCCCCAAAGCTTCAATCCTTTTGGTCTCAGTTTACTGAACAGGTGACAAAGCACTTTGCTGCTCAGGGCAAACTTGGATCAGTTAGGGTTGAGCATTAAAAATGCCTAAAACTCCCCATTTCGTGGCTCTCTTCAGAGCAGCTGGAGCGAAGGTGAGCTGTGCCTGGGCAGAGCAGGTGATGGCAATTAAGATAATTGTGGGAGTGCAGTGCCTGGAAACAACTACTAAAAGAACTTTCCAGAAGTTCCAGTACACTTCCCATAACTTTCCAATGCATTTTTGCTCTCTCCAACTCCCTGCCAGGAGGAGCAGCAGGTTCTGCTTCCAGGGAACAAAGAGACAAGAGGGAACAGCCTCAGGCTGTGCCAGGGGAGTGCAGGTTGGACACCTGGGGGAATTCCTTCAGGGAAGGGCTGTCAGGCATTGGAAGGAGCTGCCTTAGTGTTGTTTGCAGTCTCTATTGGAAAGTCACTAATCGATCTGCTGCATCCTGCACGTTGCTGGGGGCACAGATTGAGGTGAACATCCCAGATAATCTCGGCCACATGCCGAGATAAGCAATCAAATCCGTCTGGGAGGGCTGACTAAATCCACCTCCCAGTCCATCCACCCCGAGCTGCTTCAGCTGTTCAGCAAAGCCCAGACCCAAACTCCTCCCTGCTGTCTCAGTTCGACCAGGAGGGAAATTCCGTGTGACTCCGAGGATTTCAGTTCCTGATGTTATTGTGGAACACCTCACTGCGGCCTCCAGACTCCACTGCAGGCTCAGGGCAGCTCCCCCACGGCTGCCCTTCCAAGAGGCCTTAATTAAAGAGTCATTAACCAAAGAGCCACTCATTATCCAGGATATAAAGCAGGAAAACCATGGGTTGGTCCGTGCAGGCCTCGCTCCCACCCTGGCAGCCTTCAGGCCTGTTGTCAGCAGCTTTTCCATCCTTCCACACAACATCCCTCGAGCACAAGTTCTCATGAGCACCAGTTCTGGCTCTCCCTCCTGAGCTCCTCCTCTCCCCCTCGGTCAGCAGAGCAGGATTGCTCTGCATCCACACACAGGAGTGGAGGGACTGAGGTCAGCACAACACCTCGTTTGGGTGAGGGAACATCCCTCACGGAGGAGTCACCCGGGATTAGGCTCCTTAGGAATCCCAGGAGGGAAGAGCTGCACAAGAGGTTAAGTAAATCAGTGAAGTTTGTCAGTAGTGGCCAAGGGACAGCATCAAACTCCAGCAGGGAACAGAACATAGTGAAGCTGGATGGGACCTTGGATACTTCATTATGCCAAAGCCACAACACAAACCCTTCAGCTCAGGAACACAGGGTGGACACAGCGATGTGTCCGTGGCTCCACACGAGCCCTGGGAGCTGAGTTCTTCTCCCCTCTCCCCAGGGAGCGTCTCCCAGCCATATTTTTCAAGTTCCAGTTCCGGAACGTGGAGTACAGCTCCGGCAGGAACAAAACCTTCCTGTGCTACGTGGTGGAGACGCAGGGCAAGGAGTCGGTGACGTGCCGGGGGTACCTGGAGGACGAGCACGCGGCTGCCCACGCCGAGATGGCCTTTTTCAACACCATCCTGCCCAAGTGTGACCCCAACCTGCGCTACAACGTCACCTGGTACGTGTCCTCCAGCCCCTGCGTGACCTGCGCCCAGCGCATCGCCGAGACCCTGCGCAAGGACAAGGCGCTGCGCCTCACCATCATGGTGGGCAGGCTCTTCATGTGGGACGAGCCCGAGGTGCAGGAGGCCCTGAGGAGCATGAAGGCAGCTGGCTGCAAGCTGAGGATTATGAAGCCTCAAGACTTTGAGTATGTGTGGCAGAACTTTGTGGAGCAGGAGGAAGGGGAGGAAGCCAAGGCCTTCGTGCCGTGGGAGGACATCCAGGAGAACTTCCAGTACTACGAGGAGAAGCTGGCGGAGATCCTGCACTGAGGCTCGCGTGAGTGAGGCTTCCCACAGGTCACTCCTGGGGGTAAATTAACACTCCTCTCTTTCCTCGGGGGGTTAAGTCACAGCCCAGAGGCAATTCCAGCTCCTGCCACTGTGTCTGCTAATCCAGACAGCCCGGGCAGCAACCACCTCCCAGGGCAGGGACAAACCCAGATTTGGAGCTTTTGGGTGTTTTTCCTCCTCAAACCATTCAAAGGTCCCAGGGTCACACCTCAGTGTTCCCCACATGGATGACAGTCAGGACACAGGTGTAAACAGGGAGAGGAATGTGGAGAAAAGGGGATTTTCCTGACACCTCAAAGCCTAACCTTGAAAAACCACCACTAAGGAAATCCATTGTCACTGCACGATTCCCTGTTCATGGGGCACTAAAGACTCTCTAACTCCTCTCCCTTTTCCTTTCCCCAGGACCAGGAAGGCTCTATGAAGGGATGTGGCAGACCTGGACACCTGGGACACTGCCACTTCCCAAAGCTTTGATTCCAGAGGATGTGGAACACCTCCTGGGAGCCAAGGCCCTGTGGGACACAGCACAGACCTTTGGTGTTTGGGGGTTTTGGGTGTGTTTTGTTCCCCCCTCCCTGCCCCGACCCGCGTGGTGAGAGGGATGGCAGTGACCTCCAGGACAGGCTGCAGGATCACATCCTGGGAATACTTCATGGGAAAAGGTCTTAGCACAAAGCTCTGGTTAGATTAATGCATTTAGAAAGTTCATACTGCAAAGGAGGGAAAGGAAAGGGGTTTGGGGTGAACAAGAGGTTTTCCTCCTGCATAGTCAGAGCTGTAAATCACACCAGGGCCAACAGCTCTGCTCCAGATCCTGATGGAGCCCCAGAACTCCACTGCAGACACATCCAACACCTTCTCCCCTGGTTCAGTGATGTTTGGGGTATACAGCCGGGAAGAGCAGAGAGAAATAAAAAGTCACTGCAAAAGCCAAAGCTTTGTTTGTTCCTTCTTCTCTACCTGCACGTCCCAAATCGAACCTGACACGTGGGACACCCTGGGACAGCCATGGAGGGAAGATCTCAAAGCTGTGAGGGGAGAACTGTATGGCCAAAAAAAATTCCAGAGCACACACAGGTGTGGGAGACAGGGATCAGTCCCCATGTAGGACAAGGCCCAGCTCAGGCTCACAGTGATGCCACCAACACACAGGAAATGTAGAGTCTGTGGCAGCTCCTCAGTTCTGGAACCAAACTCTCCAAATCCAGGTATTTTCCAAGGATCTGATGAACCAGGTGTGTTACTGATTTGCTCTTGGTTTGGGCAATGAACTCCAACCTAACACAAAAAGCCTGAGCTACACATGCAGTAAAGAAATCTGAAAATCCAACTCCACACTGAGCTTCTTTGAGCCCATCAGTCATTCCCATTCGGATTCTCATTGCATGGATACTGTACAGAACACCCCCCAAGGTGTATTTACACCCCATATTACAATCCCAGGTTTCCCCAGAACAGGCACAGGCAGGAGCTGATCCAACAGCAGGGCAGGATTTATTTACCGTCACAGCATGATCCCCAGTGAGCAAATCCCAGAAACCCAACGTGTGCCAGAGGGAGAAACTGTTCCACCCGTGATGTGGTGAAGGGAACCGAGTGCGGGTGGAGCACTGCAGGACGGGAACAGAGCAGCAGGGACAGTGCCTGGGGCAGCTCCTTGGCACCAGCCGAACGGAAACAACCACCCCCAGGGCAGCAGCTCCGGCCTCGCTCCGCACGGAGGAGCGGGGACACCTGGTGGCTGCCTGGGAGCTTCCCGAGGCCTCTTCCCACCACATCCCTGCTACCGAACACCCCAATCACCTGCTCTGGAGCCTGTGGCTGCTGCTGGAAGCCTCACTAGGTGACACAGACCGTGCTGCCCACGCAGTTCCCCCTCAGTAACAGCTCCCACTCCCAAACTCGGGGGAAATGAGGCTCCTGGACTCTTTTCTCACAGGGTGTACACTGTGATCTTGATGTCTGTGTCCTCGAACACCTCCCTGAGGATTGCTGACACTTTATCCCACTCCAGGCCATCAAGTCCACATCCAATCCTGGAAAATAAGACAACGAAAGTGTTGGAATGGCCTCATGCTGTGCCCGGGCAGCTCTGGGCATGAAGCATTGGAGCACTGACTCCCTCACCTGGGCATAGAGATGTCAGTGACTCCGTTTTGCAGGCAATGAGCTTTCATGGCTTCCAAGCTCTTCTGCATGCTCTCGTACGTGGGTTTGTGAGAGACCTTCTGCTTCGTTATCTGTGGCAGAGGAAGATTCAGTTGTGCCTTTGGCATGAGCTCTGCAACCCCTGACAGTTACATGAATTCCTGTCCGTGATCAAACATTCCAGGACACTCCAGAACTCCGCACCCAGACTTGCTGCCCACTCTGCCCAGTGAAGGTGAAATGTCCAGGCACGGGACAGTTTGGCTGCTCCCAACCTGCAGTGTTTGAGTGACACTTCTCACAGCTCCTACTCAGAGGAACTTCCACGAACTCCCTTCCAGTGCCTGAAGGAGCCCACAAGAAAGTTTTCACAAGGGCCTGGAGTGCCAGGACAAGGGGGAATGACTTCACACTGGCAGAGAAGAGGTTTACATGGAATATTGGGAAGAAATCCTTCCCTGAGGGTGCTGAGGCACTGGCACAGGTTGCCTGGCTGCTCCCTCCCTGGGATTGTTCCAGGCCAGGTTGGATGGGGCTTGGAGCACCCTGGGCTGGTGGGAGGTGTCCCAGCCCATGGCACGGGGTGGCACTGGATGAGCTTTAAGGTCCTTCCAACCCAAATGAACACGCCCCAAACCCCACGACCACCAAAGCCTCGCTGGTATCTGATGCAGTCTGGCTCCAGCGAGGTGCCCCAGCAACATCAACTCTCACCAGGTAGTAGATGTATCGCTCATCCCTCCGCAGAACAGCCACCTCCCCCGTCTTCTTCTCTGCAGGGCAGAAAGGGAGGCGTTAACCGCCAGCCCCAGCGGCGCCGCGCGCAGCCCTGGGGACAGCACTCACGCTGGGCCAGGAG